GACATAATAATCTAATTGTCAGGTAAGGATATCATACTTGTTGGATTATTGAGAGTCTCCAACATTGGTTAGTAAGATAAGTAGAAGGGTTGAAGTTACATAGGGCCACTAGTTGTAGACGCATGCATCCCGTCTCATATAAATATCTGTACTATAAGTATGTATGTGCAGCACTGCAAAGAGAGGTTCATGCCTCTGGTTGTTCATGAATTGAGGCATGGTATAATGTGTAATGGCTAGGCAAGTACATGTCGACATATGTGTACTCAAAATTAAAGACCAATGGAGGTGTACTGTGATGCATGCACTCATTGCTAATCCCAGAATGAATAATGCGTAACTCAATTCTCTATGACCTTGATGATAAAATGTGAAGCAAGTCATTACAAAGGCCAGAACCTGTTCACAAATCTCAAAGATGGCCTGGATGTGGCTTTTTAGACCAGGGTTTACACCATTCCTGTTAGCACGGTATAGAGGATTGAGGCCCCTTTGTATTAATGACTTTCTGTATCGAAGGCTACACCATAACTTAGGAAGTGGTCCTAAATTAATAATTTTAATGATGTTTTTAGAGATCTGAGATTTGGATCTCTTAGTGCCTTAGTGGCCCTATGTTGTAAATGATGCTCAGTCTAACAATTGAGGAAGGCTTAATGAGTTTGACTCTAGATTTACGGAAGATTTCCCTTGAGTTGTGTTGGTTTGTTGCTTTCATGAGCATACATCATATGCTAGTCTTCCTTGAAAGGATGTCTAGACGTGGTGAATATAGCCATATTTTCCATATTGTTCTGCTTGGGATAATTGGAAACATTGACACTTAAAGTAGTGATTTGTTATCGCTATCAGAATAACGAATTTAGATATTGTAATTTTGCTAACTCATTGGTGATTACTTGTTGCTTTTTCTTTGCCAATTTACTAGATCAAAGTGATTATCATAATGCATGCAGTTTGCACAAAACAGATTTATTCATTTTTTTTACCATTTGTCATGCTTTTTATGTAATAATTGGCAATTTGACTGCAGGCAGTGCTGCCAACTGAAGACATGGGGAAAGAAGAGAAACATTTCAGCAAAGGAAGCTTGGTCGAAGTGAGCAGTGACGAAGATGGCTTTGAAGGTGCTTGGTTTGCTGCATCTGTTGTTGAGGTGCTTGGGGAGGACAAGTTCCTTGTTGAATATAAAGATCTTAAAACAGAAGATGATAAAGAGTTTGTAAGAGAAGAGGTTGATGCCTTGCACATTAGGCCACGTCCTCCAAAGATAGGAAAAGTCGACAAATTCAAGGAGTTTGAAGAGGTTGATGCCCTTTATAATGATGGGTGGTGGGTGGGCATCATTTCCAAAGTCCTTGGTTGCTCAAAATATCAAGTTTTCTTTAAAACCACAAACGAGGAACTGGAGTTTAAGGATGATGAACTGAGGCTGCATCAAGATTGGATCAAGGGAAAATGGGCTATGGCTTCTAAGGTAAAAACTATAAGTTGCTGGCAAAATCTTTTCCCCAGCAAAAATCTTTGCATTCATCTTTATTGTTTTGTTGAATGGAAGAGATAGTTGTATGTTTCACATTAATTTCCTTAATTGTATACTCTACTTCCACGGAGAAGGCAAATTGGATCATTTCTAGCTCCATTCACTTGGAAATTGGAAGGAGTTCCAGTTTTTTCTATCTATTCATTTCACATAATCATATTTGACTGTTTTTTGTGGTAAGTAAATATTTAACTGAACTCTTTTTGCAGGCCATGGATTTGTCAGGCTGAAGAGAATGGTCTGCGTAGAGTGTCCTGAACTGATCCAAGTGTAGGTAATCATTGTATCATAAATTCTGAATTATATGTTGATTGTCATCATCTTCTTTTCAAGGCCATGTTTTTGTCTTTGGGTGAGAATGAGAAATTTCTTCAAATAGTGTGCTAACATCACACTTTGGCCGATATGCTGGAGCTTGATTAGCAATGGCTCCCTATTCAATGTGATTTCTATTGAGTGGTCTGGTAAGATGACCCAAAATTGTAATGGTTATTCTGTAGGCTTAGTCATGTGTTAATGGTGGCATCCTCCCTAGGTGATGCTGTTGTGTACATTGTTGACTTTCCATTTAATAAAATCCCATATAATTAAGCTGCAATCATTGTTCCATTGTAAATTCTAGTTGAAGACGTGATTACTGATTATGTGATTGATCTTAGATTTCATACTTTGGAAATTGACCATGGAGACAAGTGACAATTCAGGCTATGAAAAAAGTCCGCCTGAACTTGTGGAAATTGGGACGGAGTGCATCAGGCCAAGCAGGCCTTCGACCAAAATGGTCAATAAAATGCTATTGATGATGGGGCCACACAGCCCTTGAAGGGCCTTGCCTATCAGGCTAGCTTGCCTGGACCATACTCGATTAGCTCTACATATAAAGCTGTCTGTGTCAACTTGAATGATTTGTGTTTTGAGGTGCTTGTGTGGGCAACCTTCCCAATTCCCATAATTAATATTGGGTTGTAATACGTAGACAACCTCCATTCAATTGCATGATGTGCATCCATATTTGAGTTGGTTGCAGATCTCATTTATACTAACTTGATGGCATCCATGTTTATTTGGCAATATCTGTTATAGAGGGTTACTTGTGTAATAGCACTCTGTGATGAAACTGTGAGGATACGCCAAGGCTGTTGCAATGCAGATGGCGTAGGAAACTGGGGGAGCATTACATGCATATGTGATTTAGGGAAAATTGCTACATGAAATTGTATTAGATCTAGGTTTAGGCAGGGGGTTAATTCATTTGGCTTTTGGTTAAGACCTGCTAAAAATATGTGGGTTCTTTGTGGTTGTTTGACTAAGAACATATTGGAAATTGTTTGGTCGACAAAAATCTAATAAGTTGTACTCCAGAATTCATAGGAAGGCGGAAGGACTGACCTAGCAGTCTAGCACCTAATTCTCAGAGGAGCAAGAATAACTCTAATTAATTTTTGGTCAACCAAATGAGAAGACATTTTTGTGAGGTACTTTACCCCTTTCCTAAAAATACAACATTTTACATAACACTTTTACTTCTATATTTTTAAATTATTTGGTCAAAGTTAGCATGTATAACGTAAAAGTCAACACGCTGTAATCTTAAAGAAATAAAGTACTCCTGTAATTATGTTTAACATTTTGAAGTGAATCGTATAACTAGTTCATTCAATCTTTTACGTCGGACAATCTTGGTTTTGATATCGAGTCATAAGAAAGAAGGGTAGGAAGAATTTGCGAGTAAAATTCATTTACATGTGCGCCTTGGTAGTTGGCTAGTTGCAGTTTATGGGTGCAATAACTTTAGATGATAGCCCATCTTTTGTCTCATACTTCTGTTTATTTTTATAACTTTACTTGTCTATATTTATGATCAATTACCCAAAACAGTTGAGGGTAACGTGATGCTATTTCTGTTGGATAGTTAAGACACCTTACTAAATATAATACTATTGCTATTATTAGAGACAAAATAAGTATGTGAATTTTGTATGTTGTATCATTGTCTTTTATTTCTTTGGATACTTAATGCTAAAGAAATTTAATAAAATGTCTCTCGAATGATCTTGTTTTGGTGTAAAATCTATCCAGAGTGTTAGCATGATAACGAGAATTGAACTCTATGAGATCGAGTCTTCCGTTGTTTCTGGGTAGCTCACTAACTAAAATCAAACCACCGCCATTGCGAAATTTGTAATAAAGCTTGTGAACATTATGTTACTGAAGCAAATTTGAACATGACATTTGCTCATCTTTATTGTACATATGTATACTAGGTAATGTCATCGTGTGGCCTGAGTCAGGAGCCTGTTTGCTACACTGCCAACACGTATTTTGTGTCTAGTTTGATGTGTGTTAATAATTTAATACAAGAATACCAAAGAGAATTAATCTAATCTATAACTTTTACTAAAATAACAATCGCTGACATTATTTTTTCCCCTAACTTCACACATGTTAAGTTGTGGTAGAAAATTTGCCCTCCTAAAATTTATGTGATGTCATCATTTTTAAATTTTTTTTATTTTTATTATTTGATAAATTTAAGCTATTTCTTTTTTATGAAAAAATTTAAGCTATTTCACTAATACTCTAATTTTTTTTAATTTTTCTTTTTAAATGCATATGTGTAAATTTTTATTTTTTTCTTTGTAATTTGTAATTTTAATATTTATTAATATTTAAACTTAGTTCAATAATTTCACAATTGTGACAATATAACAATTTTTATCTAACATAATTATGCATCGCATGAGACTAATTTAGTTATTTTTATTAGATAAGCCAGCTTTATAGGTTTTACAACATTGGGTGGGATGTATGCGAGTACTCCGTATGTTGTACATATATTGTGCATTTTGATACATTTTAAATCTAAACACATTCTTTTTTGAAAGGTTACCTACTTTATTCATTAATTGCAACTCTACTTTATTTAACCAATGGTTCTTTATATGAGTCTGTATTTTTTTTAATCTCTCTATTTTCTTTTTGAAAATCGTAAATCCCCCACATCATCTATATACGGAGTATATAAAGAATTTCCAAAAAAAAAATAAAAAATAATTCTTATTCCGTTTTTTTTGTGGTGCTATTTGCATCAGCACTTCCGTTCCCACTTCTCATTTCTTCTTGATTAGTTGAGTTTATACCAACTTATATGTAACTTTTCATCGTTACACATTTGACCATCTTAATTAATCCCAAACATTTCTATATATGTTTATTTAATCTCATTCATTTTATTTATTTTGGTGAAAATATTTAATCTCATTCATTTGTCTTAATCATCCAAGTAATAAGACCCTCTACATCATCTATATTTTAAAATAGGCAATTCAAAAACATTTTAACTACATAATAACCAAATCGAATTGGCTCAACTCGTGGTATCTAGACATCGGGTTAGAGATCAAACTCATAATATTAGAATGCAAGACCCGAAAACAGATGTTTGATTGTTCATACATGATTCTAAAGTGAGAGATTATATTCCAATAGATAACATAGATTTAATTTGACAAATGAAAAGAGTGAGCAACATACAGCCCTTTTAGTACATCAGTCCATAATATACCTATTTTAAAAGACATCTTTAATTCTTTAGCATAGAATTCTCAACTCTCTAAACAAAAAACGCAAAGATAACATTGTTAAAGCACTGAAATCCTTATGTTTTAGACAATACTTTCCTAGCTAGTTTCCTTTCCTACACCTCCTTCACAACATTAGCCACTTTCACATCCACCCCATTTGCCACCTTTCCGCCTGCAGTTGCAGTCGCAGCTGTAGTAAAATCAGCAACTTTTGCCGCCTCTTTCTCATCTTCGGCATCCTTCCTCAACACCTTGGTAGCCTCCTCCTTCTCATCGACAACGAAAGCATCAGTCGGGAACACCTTGGAGATACCTGTAGGGTTCCTGAACACGATCTTTTCGCTTTCGGGGCTGTCGACTGTGATCTCAGAGATAGTCACCCAAAGAAACAACTCCTTGGCCTTAACTCCAGTAAGTTTCTTAATCTTACAAGGCTCAACATAAGCAGTAACTTCAGAAGCATAACTTACTAACTTCCCAATCTTCTCAAATTTGTGCTTGATTTCTTTCTTGTGTTTTAGCCAAACAAAGCCTGTTTCTTCAATATACCCACATTCCTCTACATCTTGTAGTGGGAGAAGCCCATTGGGCAGGCCCACTTCTCTTAGAAGTCTCTTGGATTGAGCCAGGCAGACGTCGTTTCCGTGGTATAGCTCCGTCGCCTTGGCCCGAATTTCGTCTGTTATCATAGACATGACGTTTTCTTGCTATTCTTCTTCTTGGCCTTGTTTTTGTGTTAGAAGGTTTTTTTTCAGAGAAAATGATCAAGTTTTTTTATTGTGGTGTAGTATGAAATGGTTAAGTGAAGGAAAAGGAAAGGGGTTGTTGATATATAGGGAAATGATTACAAGTTTACCCTTTGAATTTGATGATATTTACAAGGGTATACCACTTGGAATTTTTAAGTAGTTGGTATAGTGAAATAAATAATTACTGAGATCATTAAATGTTTTCTTCATCTTTTGGTTCACCTCACTCTTCTCCTGTGTGTGTAGGATTAATCCCTTCAATTATTTTTTTTTGAAATTTTTTGTCTTTGTTTTAATGCCTGTTTTTTTCCTGGAATTATGTCGGTAGAGGTTTGTTTAACTAACTCGTGAGTTATCATTTACTTCGTTGTAAGGACATGTATAGTTGCTATAATTCTAAAATCCGATCAACTCGAGGTTGCTGTAGTTGGTCGTTATGTTCGATTTAGTCTTTAGGCACGCAGGACAAACTCGTCGTGTGTTTGCTTATTGTCGTAGCATTGATCACTAGACCAGTTTATTTTAGAATTTGAGCAGAATTAGATTTGATCGAGCTACGCCTTAATGTAGAAATTTTAGGACTTTTCTCCAAATTAAGCCTTTTTGGCAAAATATTTTGTAAATTGGATGCGTGGCAAAACTATTTACCAAACTAAGATTCTGGGGTAAAATGCTGTCTCGGACAGCGTTTTATATCCTGATTTTTTTTTTAAAAAAAAAAATATATGTATAAAACGCTATCTCAGACAGCGTTTTACTTGTTGACTTTTTTTTTTTGGGATTTTCTTAGTTTTTGATTATTAAAAAAAGAAAAAAAAATTCAAATATACATAAGACGCTGTCTGAGACAGCGTTTTATGTACAACTTTTTTTTGTACATAAAGCGCTGTCCTAGACAGCGTTTTTCTGCTGGACTACAAACCAGCAGCCTGTAACCTACAGCCTCCAAATTCTGCCCCCAACACACCACCCCCAGCCTTCAATCAGCCACCACCCTCAACCACCACCACCACCACCGACCCCTACCGTCCCACCGCCGTCGACCACCACCAACCACCACCTCCCGCCACTTTCGACTACCCTTATGCACTTCAAAACACTCCAACCACCCCCCGCAACACTACAACCACCCCCACCATCAATCCCAACCTTACCACCAATATCGACCACCACCAACCACCACCTCCTGGGAATTCCGTCCACCCTTAAGCTCTTCAGAACACTCCAAACACCCCCAACAGCACTACAACCACCATGAACCATCACATTAACCACCACGGGCCATCGCTTCTACCCCGTTTCTCATTATGGAGCTCAAATGTCTTGTATTTGATATATATCGGCCTATAAAGATCTATTTTGACTGACATAAGTCCGATTTGGACAAATAAGAAAATTAAATTTCAAACCACACAGATTCATTCAAAAAACATTTATTATATTAATAATGTAAGTGTTATATACATCATTCTAGAAAATTCGGCTACAGGAAATAAATCAGCTAATACTATCTTGACTCATTTATTCGGGATAACTGTTCTCTATCCTGTCTGTCGTCCCTCCGTTTGACAAGACGCCGCTTGTAATGTGCAATGGTGGTGAATGGGTCTCGGGGCGGTGGGGGAGTCTGCTGGCTGGACGATGGGCCCTCCTGGGTAGGGGTAGACGCAGAACTGTGGATGATGTAATCCTCTGCGTCACTGGGTGACGTAGGATCACCTCCACAGCTACTCTGGCCGAGCTCGAACTGTGAATGGACGGAGTGGCCATCATGGCCGTCCTGCTAGTGGACGAGATAGCCGTGACCATATCTCTGTAAGGTAGTCACGCATATATCTCGTACCCGCTCGACTTGGGGTCTGGTGGGTCCGTCTGCAAGGGCGATTGACAGTGCATCAACCATCGCCACCATATCCGCCGCCTGCAGTAATCATCGATCAGTCAGTTGTATGATATAGAAATTAAAAAATTGATGAAAATAAGTAGAATAAAAGAAACTCACACATCCGCTAATGACGTCATATGCTGGATGGTAATGTGTGGAAGGTGGTGTGTAGTTGGGGTTGATGAAACGCCGTGTAATCCGCCTGTGCCAGACCATGTACGGATCGTGAGGATCCATAACGCCCTACATCGGATCACCGTCAACAACGAACTCCAACCGTCGTTGCCATAGGTCAATGCAAACCCTATGCTCCACTGACCAGTCTGTCTCCCCCTTTCCCCGATGGTCAATGCCGTGCAAGCGGATACTAGTATCACACTGCTGGGGGACGGGCTGGCGTAGTCCAAACTATCGCATGACTCGGTCGGGGAGGTGACTCTCCACAACATCGAAACAGATGACGGGGGTCCTAGCACACCACTCTGCCCGATGATCCAGCAGATGTGCAGGCATGGCATCAACCAATTCAGCTACATACGGATCCCATGTCACCTGCGAAAACACGTCAAAAGTAATACCGTAAATAGGTTAGTGCACTGACAAGAATCATATTAAATTACTGTTTACAAATTCCTTTTAAGTTACCACCTGATCTTCGGTAAATCGGTCTAGGGCGTCTCGGTAATACAGAAGACCCCTCGCCGCATGCGCAAGTGTAAGTCTGGGGACCACCCACCTAATACCGAAAAATGTTTCAGTTTTTCAATTAGCACAATAAAACCATATGAAGTCTAAAGTAATGGCAACTGTAACAAACCTGCAACTGTACGCCTCATCAGCTGTAGGGAGCGGTGGAGCATCGTACGCCTGGTACTGGTCGTCTCGGTCCTGCTCCCCCCGACGATGTCTAGCAGGCCTACCTGATCTGCCTACATTGATATGCTCCCAAGCCCAGAATTGCAATACAAAAATACAAAACTAGGTTTAGTATATACTAGGTAAGTGGCTTTTGAAATAGGTTATTGGTAATTAGGTGAGTTACCTGAAACACAATCAAGGGACCTCCGATCTCGTTAGAACTGCGATGGGATGCTCTACACAGCTGGCGATACAACATCGCCAAACAGGCACTACCCCAATTGTAGCCACGGATATGATCCCAGTCGTGGTCTTACATCTGTAGGTAAATGGGCTGCAGATGGCTCCCGCTCTTGTTGCCAAACAACACACCCGAGATGAGAAAGAACAAGTTCGCCCGAGCGTATCTCTGAACCGTGGCGTCATCAGCGCCCAGAGGAAGCTCACGAAAAGTCTCGCATATCCAGTCGGTCCTCAACCCGGACACCCTGATATCGTCGGGACCTGGCTGAACCCTGAGAACCGGAGCTACCAAACCAATGGGATCGACTAACGCATGTCCTATCACCGCAGTCCCGTGTATAGGAAGGCGCGTGAGTATCGCAACGTCCCGCAACGTAACGGTCGCCTCCCCAACAGGTAGGTGGAAGGAGTGCGTCTCCTGTCTCTACCTCTCCGCGAGCGCAGTGACTAGCGCTCGATCAATCTCCCTGAACGCCATCTGATGAAAACCACCCAAGCCAACCAACTCGATGTACTCAATAACGCGTGGATCGACAACCCATCCCACCATAAACCTGGTAGTATAGTGCCTGCAAACCAGCTGCTTTGCTGGATCAACCTGAAAAAAAAATCGTACGAACGAAATTAATATCAGATAGTATATCAATTTAACATGCATAAGTACATGAAATAACGGATGATATATTACCGTCTAGTCCCATATGTCGACGCTCCAATGTTTGTCTAGTAGTGTCAAGACAAAAGGGTCAACAGGTTCGGGTGTCCTATCTTCTTCGTCCATGATATTTGTTCATTGAAAACGTTATATACTAAATACCAACACAATTACTGGATTAGCAATTAAACATTAGCTGGACGAGTTAAAGGCAAAGACAGAAAATTGCAAACGACATCCAAAGTAGAAAATAGAAATGATCTAACTGTTACAAATGTTACAAACTTTAGAAAATCTGATACAAAATAATTCTACTTTCTACTTCTACAACAAATAACAAATACAGACTTGGGTCCTATGTCGGCCTAGATGGACACGTTGTCCGTTTGTGACCCTGCTGGTGACAGCGGCTGCATTTGCTCGGGGGCCGGTTAGTCTCATCCATTTCATTGCGTATGCGCTTTGACCTTGGCTGCCCTTTTCCACACACCATGCTGCCGTCAGGAATGAGTTTGGGGCCGATGTACTGCGTTCAGGTTGTCTCGCAGGGGATAGGCCAGAATTGTGGTGCGTATGTATTTGTGTAGGCCTCTGATTGCAGCACAAGGTCCACCCACGGCCGCTCTGATAGTGAATACGTCGCACAGACTGCTAAAACATGAGAACATGGGAGGTGGAATATCTTTGGTTTGCTGCATGTACACGTTCTCAAGTGAAATTTAACAGTATGTTTATGGCCTCCTTTACTACCAAGTCGCTCTCCCCTTTCTGTTGTGACTTGGTAAATATGCAATCGGCGGTTATATATACGCATCTACTCTGTAATATCTGCCTTTTGCGGTGTTCTTCTCCAGAATGACAGTGTATGCAAGTCTCTGTTCAGACCTTGCCTCAGAAGACTCCCTTCTCAAAGTGAAATACCTATTAACTCTGTGAAAAGTTAACTCGACAAGGGACATGATAGATAGAAATTGAGCTCCCTTCAACACATTGTTAAATATTTCAGAGAAGTTTGTAGTACATATCTCATATCTGCGACCAGCGTCGTGAAATAGAGACCACATAGTGAACGGGACTTGAACAATGTACTCCATGGCCTTGGTACACGCCTCACCGATGAAACACAGATCAGCTTGAAGTTTTCTTTCCTGCCTTTGGTACGCCGCAACCTTAAACATATCTCTCATTTCGTTGCTTCGCATGTGAGTCTTCAAGATAGAAGATATGTGGCGAACACAAAACCTGTGATAGGCTCGCAGCTCGGTGAATCCAACGTTAGGATCATTCATTGCTGCAATGATGTCGATCAGATATAACACAGAGGGCATCTCGTTGCGTGACATGAACCCGAATGCAGCCTAGGAACGAAGACCAGCTGGAAGTGTTTTCCCCTTCAACCACCGCAAATGTTAGCGGAAATACTTGGAAGCTTGCATCCACACTTGTAGCAACCAACAGTGTTCCTTTGTACTTTCCGTACAAGTGCGTCCCATCGATACAGATAACAGGCATACAATGT